AGTATGAATATGTCATTCGTTTTTGTTACGGTCAAACAAAATTGACATTGCATGCGCCCTTATAATTGAACTAGCTCGATAGGCGCCTCAATATATTCACAGACCTATTTTAACAATATTATGAATACGCAGATTATGATGTTTCTGAATATTCCCAATGTAAAGGCGAGGCAGTAAATCAACGTACGTACTTGCCAATGACGTCACAAGGACGAAAGATCAATGACTGAAAGTGTGCAGTTCAAGTCAACTTTCGGCCAGCAAAATGAACTAGGCCTAGTTCTACTGGAAGAATACTTATTACTAATGAGAAAGGACAACTTACTGTGGACCTATGATCTAGGTTTACCGAAATTAACCCACTTCGTTCTAAAAGGGGCTGCGAGTGGGCTGTTGGACCGGGCGGATGGAACACGTTTTCTGTCAGTTACCCGATAAATAGATGAAAGTTGTTACAAAACCACAGAAAAACAGTTAATCCAATTTTCATCATTGTCCTAGATAAGAACAGAAACTGGATGTAGGCAATACAAACCTATAAGGTTTTAACTGTTTTTTTTAAAAAGCGTTTCATATTTTAAAATTTGAAATTAGGCCCTATGTTTGTAAATACAAGGTTTTCGCCTGTAGGCTTTTTAACTGTATTGGATTATACTTATTTCGAAATTCTCTACATTAAAACAATTAAAAAATCAGATAAGAATGAATAACAACATAGGCCTAATAGAGAGTTTAAGAAACTTATTGAGCATTTTTATTTGTTTTTAAAGAAAGGTCCTTTCAGACAATAATGAGCAAAAAATTACATATATATCGTAAATAAGAAATCGATAATAAAGAGAAATATTGCCCGTGAAAAAAAGAAAGCATTGCGAAATGTAAAAGTTACCTAATTTCTTGGGCTATCTGTATAATCACCTTAACTGTGTGAGTTATCATGTTAGGCCTGTTTTTGTACTAAACGCCTTGAACACTAATTATTGAAAAGGTGCTGCAAGTTATTTTTTATTTACTGATTTACGAATTATCTCTATCTGTAGATAATAGGCCTATTTTTAAAAGTTGACTTGCATTTAGTACCATACGTAAATCTACCACCGTAGTTGCAAGCAGAATGTGTTGAAGACAATACTCAAGGGTCTCTTCAAAACAATTTTTCCCATAATAAGCCTATTAGTGTTTCCCTACGGTAACTTACATCAAACATTAAATATACATCAAAATACCAACCTAAATACAGGAGAAAAATAAAAAACTTCTGGTAAATATTTCAAGAAAAGCTGACTAGGCTAAGGTGCAAGACCGTTAAGCGGAACATCCCCAAGGATAAAAGTAAAGTAAAAGGGCACAGGCGTTCAATGACATCCCCTGCCTCTACATTGCTTCTTCGACGATTCTTTTTAAGTCAAAGATCATTATCTTCATAATTAGCGAAAAATTCCAACGATTGAAGATTATAATTTGAGATATTCATATAACAATGAGAACCAATTCACAAACAGGGTGTAGTTTATCGAGCCAACTAAAATAACCCCTTTCAAGTATAGGTACCGTAGCCTAATATAATGATGAAGGTATGAAGTTTATAAATTATTTTGTCTGCGGAGGTATTCCAAAAACTTCATCTACATTCTAATTTATCATCCAGGGACGCCGCCAACTATATAATTATTTTATCAAGTATTATGAAACGTTGTACCGTTATCATAACTAAATTAATGCATTTCCGTGTTTTCCTTCAAAATAATTCCGATACCGTTTTAGTTTTTCAAGTTGGTAAATTCATTATAATGCTGAGGAGACTTCTAGGCCTATAAAATTCCCATGTAAAATTACAAATTTGGACGAATGAAAAAAAGAATTTAGTTAATGTCGCCACAAATCTTCGTTTATTTTTGGTATAAATTTCAATTAGGCCAAAAGCCTTTTGAATGTCTTATTTGGTAGAAATGGCCGATTCAAGAAGTCAGTGGCATCAAGGACTCGATCAACAGCCACGAGGAACCACGTGACCACTTAGCAGATCAATAGCTTCTACCCGTGTACCCCCGCAGTTCAGTTTTTTTTTCATGATTTCAGCGTTTTACAAATCAAAGTTAGAAGATACAAAAGATGCAAGATACACTTTACTCTAAAATGTCGTGACATTCAAGATTTCTTTTACTTTGTGAATAGTTTGCAAATTTGTCAAAAATAATACATTGGGAATTAATAACAGACTTAAAGGAGAAAATACAACATTAGAAAATAAAAATGATGTAAACAATATATAAACAAAGACTAAAGGGAATTGGCGAAAAAACACCCGAAAACTAAAGAAACCCTCAGGAATTAAATTACAATTTTTAAATCACTCATCTAAAACGATTAAATAACTTAACTTCCAACCAAACACGGGTCGAAAAATATACTTTTAGCTGTTTTACAGACATTTTACTACAAACTTTCCTGAAATTGATTACTTATGCAAAAGAATACAAAAGAGGTACTGGAATCATTTTGTCGGTTAATTATTTTAGCTTATAGATGTATATTATCTTTGTTTATTTTAATTTATATATTTTTTGTGCGTGTTATGTATTTATATATTATCTTTATTTGATGTCAACTTTTAATTGGAGGTTTTATCTATGGGAGTCGGTACGGAAATAATATTTAAAAAAAAAACATGGAATTGTTTTCTCATTAATGTTTTAAATTGTAAGTTTAATAACTTACGGTACTTAAATATACAAACTAGACAATTCAAATATGGAATTTTTCTACAATGTTTTATGGCCTACATAGCCTTATACGACGTGATTCAGCATTCCTGTAGGCCTAGTAGTATTTAATCCGTTAAATAGTGCTACGATGATACGTTGTGTTCCGGTATATGCTCCCGATTAAGCTCCGCGACGCGTATTCAAAATAGATAAGCACCCCGGCGCTTATTCGAGTGCGGCGCTTGTGACCAAAAGCACGTTCAGTCCGAGATCTGCGCTTTTCCGACACAGCGGACTCATTATATCATTACAATATGCTGGTCAACCTACAGTACAAATAGAGAAGAAAACTGTATTTCTATTAAAATGTTTTGTAAATAGATCTCTTCTAATTTTAAAATCTGAAGCAGCATTAGATTTGGCGTGGGGTCTAGTCATCGATATGTTGTAGATTCTTTGTAAGATTATCGCATCACAGTAGACCAGGCTTACCGTTACCGTCGGTTGGCAATGACCTTCTTCAAAGTTTATAGGGGGAAAAGTTAAACTTAGGTGATACGTCATACACGAGATAAGAAACATACTCTTTAAAACAACTTTGTCAGAACGAATATCCCTGGACAATTCTTTCTTATGACAATTCGTCCCTGAGCAATTTAGTCCCCGGGCAAGCTATATCATCCAGTAATTTTGTAACCTGCCACCTACTCCCCCTGTCGGGATCGTTCACACACATTGGACATAAATTTAAAAAAAAATAATTTTAATAACTTTTACTTCTTCCGCTTAAGATATACTGTCTGATAGGATAATAAACAATGTGATTCAATATTTATATTGTTTAGTTTCCATAATGCTATTACTTTTCAATTGATAATTAGAACAGGAAATGTTTTCTACGCAAATAAATGAAAAAATAAATTATACCGTGCCTATATTATACTATAGAACCACAACTGGTTGGTACCGGTAGTTTGTTTGAAGGTGTATGGTTGGGTTTGGTTTCAAATCAGCAAACATTGTTACAGTGTCTGTTTCACTGGAAACATTTAACATATTTGATCCGTTTAAATGGATCAATGTTTTAATAAATATTTGAGTGCCTACAATCAACATGGATATTTTTTGTTGTCTAGCTAGGCCAATGTTGATTGACATTTTTATTTGTATCAAGATTTTTTGTTTACCATTGCTCTAACATTTCGTTAGTTTTCCCCTATAATTCCTCTTCTGTAATTTACTAACAGCCTTTCGGTATTTTTGATGTATTGTTGAAAATTAATTCGTCTAGAATATCGACATGGAATTTCCAATGCCGAAAGATCAGGCGAGAATAATGACCTCTTGTCACAGGCCTACAGTCGTTTATCTCTGAAAACACCTCAACAAAAACAATTTTCACGAATTAATCTTGATATAGATTTTATAGGTAAAATTAATGCTATAGTTCCAGCTCTGTGATTAAAGATAGTCCTATTGTTTATCGTATTCTTTTTTTCAATTAAATCTTCTCCATGTTCAGGTTGTTTTTAATACTATTTATTTTGCAATTCTTTTATTCTAATGTTGCTCTTTATCGAAACCCATAAATGTTCATCATCAATAGTAACACCCTCCTTGTCGTCGAACCACCGAAAATACATTATATAAAATGTAACACAGCATATCATCCATTTTTTAATATCAACTCAGGATATTTGCAGTAGGCACCTACTGCAGCCACATGGTACTTACCAATTAGTCAGTACACCAAAAGAAATCTAGATTTTCCTAACAACATAGGCCTAACTCATTTTTGAGCAAACACGCCCAACAGCTTATCGCCCAGTACTAATTTATATCTAGATTTTCGTGTGCTTTTCTGTCTTTCATGTTTTGGGTAAGTTTTTGTTATTTTTTTATTTGCCATTTTCGTCCGATACACACATTGGCCCAGCAGCTTACCATCCAATTCTAAGCAGAGGTATTTAGAGTCAAGTCTTTTGAATTCCAGTGGTCTAAAAATCTATGCATATATTTTTGTTTCTACCTTTTCAATTTCACCTTTTTTTCCCCTTTTTACTCTACTATAATAGATGAACTTTTGTTTAATAAGAAAATTAATTTAAATACCAAATATTAAAAATGATATCGATATCTGACACACACTTCAATGACAAGCAATGCAGTTGATGCGGTTGCATTTCAACCGACAGGTCTGGCAAATCAATCTTCAAAATTAAATCCTTGCAATATTCACTTGGAAACTATTTTACATTGTAAAAATATAGTATAATGCTTTTTGACAAATTGTTCCTGTGGTCACAATTAACTGCTTAGTAATAACAGCTCAATATACTGACATTTAACATGTCTTTTTGTTTTATGTGTTTCAGTCCTCAACAGAAGTATCAATCTGCCATGGGTTAAGTTCACCATAGCAATGGGTATAAACTCTTCGCTGGTATAAGATCGCCCTTTTCAATCACAAGCTAAAATGCAAGGATAGGGAGGTGGTTAAATGACATACATTCTTGTACACACAATTGAGAGTTGGATTAACATGTGATCCAAATGTTTTCATACTTTATGTTTGTATGTTTTATAAATGCATTTTGCATGTTATTTACATCGCACTATTAGTGTCCTTACTATCCTTACTGTTAGTGTTGGGTTGAATGTAAATTTAAACCTAAACATGTACAAAAATAATTCTCAGTTGGACTAGTTTGCAAAATATTACAATTCAACCCAACAAACAAATTTGAAGAGAACTTGATATTCAAGAGTTGACCCATTTGCGCTCTTCACCCCGTAGTAACAGTTTCTCAGAGTCCAGTAGCGGCCCTTTCCTCTCCTGAATAAAAATAAGAAAAAATATAATGTAGTTGTACGTCCACCAATTGCACAATTAATTATTCAATATGATTGCAAGAGGTGAAAGGAAATTATCTTGTTAAATTAAGGCTCAACTAAACCTGCAAACACAAAAGCAACACTTATTTATTTATTTTTATTAACCATGAAAAGGAATTAGCATTCTTTTCATGTGACAGTTTGCATGAAAGATTCTTCAAAAAGTGGGTTTGTCCAATAATTTTAACCTGAAATTTGAAAACAACTTTTTTTTAATGATGAAAACATATCCCTGAGGGTCTGTGGTTACTGCCTCACAAGGAAATGGATCAATTTGGCATTTCAGTGCCTTGAGCAAATTTAGTTACACAAATCTGAAGTAAAAAAACGAGAAATCAAACAAGACTTCCACTCTTTCTCATTAACTCATCACATTGAAACTTCCAATAACAGTACTGAGTTACTTAAGATAACATACTTCAAAAATATACTTTTAACATAATAATTTGGTAGGAAATATAGATAAAATACAAATAATGTATAATATCTATTAGGAGTATAAACAATTTTTGTATATGAGATAAATCAAATTAATGGATCAATTTCCAAGAAAAAAATAATGAATTGGATTTCATTGATCAACTTATAGCAATAGGGTTGGTAGTGATTGATTTGGGTCAAATTAAATGAAACCTCTACTTTGCACTTTAGAGGTTAAACCAAGTCTCCACAAAGTTATATTTCAGCAACTTTAATTCCTTTAAGTTTTTGAAATTAAAGTAAATCAATAAAATATATTCCTACTTAAAAATATATTGAATTACATTGTAGTATGTTGTTTCCTCAACGTTTCTACTGTAGCTGGTAGAACTTTATTCTGGTTGGTCATTTAATGAGAATGCCTTCCAATAATACCCGAACATACATTACAGACCTTCCAATATAAAATTTATCCTTAAATTAAATACCAACCAACCAACCAACCAACCACTCAACCAAAGGTCTGGGCAAAAACGATAGCAAAGATAATGCATTCATTAACAAGAAAAATTACTCACTTTACATTACAAAAGCCATCAAAATATTGAAATTATGTTTTTTTGGGCTCAATACAGACAGTTTATCATGATGCAAATTTGTAAAAAAAAAAGGATAATTATGAGATTTAAAAGATCAGTAATTGAGGGATTAAAATATCCGAGATTACTGGATTATGAAGATGGGCCAAGTGAAGGTCATGAATAAGCTGCGTGCAAAGCAGCACTAGAAATAGCAACGCGGGAGATCCACCAAACATAAAGCATTATTTGCGAAGACAATGACGTACCGTAATCAACACCAGTAGGTCATGCTCTTGTGTGACATCCGAGAAACATGCTCGTAATTGATGATTGATTGATCCAGATTAGAATCTCAATTGTTCACGTCAGAATGCGGTCGAAACGCGATACCGCCAATGACGGTAATAGATACAAGGAGATATGACAATGGAAATCAATTGCATTTTTTATCTTAATGATGAGATGCTGTTGTATTCTATGACAAATCAATTGATCAAACCGTTATTTGTCTGTTGATGACGTAGATGGAAAGCACCACCAACGAAGACCTTCACAAACGTGAAACCAAATACTAACTAATGACACTACACTCGCAGTCTAATAAAGACAATTTCATAACGAAAGATTTTAACTTCACCCCCCAGGTTGGGCTTATTGAGAAAGACAAAAGTCGGCTGAGGTAACATCTTCAGACTCTGTATGTTTAGTATTGATATTATCTTGTGGAAAGACCTCCGCAGAGATGATACTGAAGAAGGGCTTCAAGAAAAATCGCAAATTCAGATGGAAATAAGAGATTCAACTTTTGTTTGATCTGGTTCAGGAACAATCAAGATTTGAAAATTGTCTGCGACAACACACGCTAATGATAAACCTAAAGTCATTAGCAATTATTTCAGACAATGTTACTAATAAAAGAACTTCTAGATAGCAAAGGAAGTCACGCAACACTTATAAAAGTACTATCAATAATCATCTTCATGTATCACATCAAATTATACCAGATGAAAAAAAAAATCAAATATCCAAGAAAAACTCTTCTCAGAAAGTATTTAGTTAAACAGGATTAACATGTTCCTATTTACACACCATAGGTCTGGTAACATGTAGTGTTTCCCAAGACGTACAATCCTTAAGGTACAAACATGTTACTTGATGGCAGACAATAGGATTTAACACTCAATTGTAAGACAGCATTATATATACTTATCAAAGCTCATTCAAAAATAACTACAACAAACTTACTAATGACAGGAGTGAATAACCTTTAATAGAAAAATGTTCTTTTTTTTTAAAGCTACAAGTCAAGTATGATATCAAACTGAATTGCTATACAATAAAATGATACGTAAACCTATTATAAACTTATGAGTGTGGTACATCATAGAGAAATGGGTACATTTAAGAATATTTTTAAGTTGCCTATAAGCTATTTTACCACAGCTATCTTTAAAAGAATTTTTAATGGTTCTATATCATCCATAATATCTTTTTAAATCAAATTTAAACAAAAAAAAGCTACATTTCTACATCTTTGCTAATAATAAAACATTATAATGGGTCAATTTCACGTCTAAAGAACAATAATTTTAATCCAAACACAGGTCTGTCACTCAAAATATTTTTTAAGATAAGGGTCCACAGAAAATCATTGACCATGACTTGTGGTTAAAAGTACATATAACCAATGCACTATTTGTAATGCTTGTGTATGAAAAACTTCAGCAATGGTTAGAGATTAACCTTTATAAATATCCCACCCCTTTGTGACATTTGATGTGGTCAATTAATAAACTGGCTAGTAAAATACAGCATTAATCACATTCTTGGTCCTGCAGATGAATTTGGCAAACAGGTAGGACAGAAATAATTAAAATAAAAGTACCGTAGTTTTACATGTTCTGTGATACTGATGCAATTTTTAATACTCATAGTTAATGATATCTACTGTTGGTCATAAAACCTGGAAACCCATAAAAATAACTGTTAAAAAAGACCATTCAAAGACTGGGAAGTTATGGCATCAACAAACTGTCGCCACCAGGGACTAAAACCACTTGTCATAAATAAGTGTAATCTTTTCTCCAAAATCAAATGAATGGTGGCTGACCATGTATTCAAATATATTTTTAAACACCACAAAAACATTTAGAGGAAGTTTTAGCTTAAATAGTAATTAATTAAAACTATATAAAGTGGTAACAAAAACAAGGTTTATGCTTCTATTAAACAACTAGAGCAAAACAAATCCATGACAGATATCAAAGGACTTGGATGAATCGCATAAATCCATGCAAGCTTACTTTTGAGAACTAACCGATTCCGTAAAAGATTAAAATACCAGGGTATCTATCAAGAAAAAAGCCAAATATTGATATCTTTATTTTCATTTCTTCATTTTGAGTTCATTATTCTGATATAATATTTTTTTCCAGTTTTCAGTTCTCCAACACTAAAACTATTGACACATTTGGATACAATCACCAAAAAAAAGGGAAATTCTGATTTCAAAAAATTGTCAATATCTGTCACTTTTAATTTTGATCTAAAATGGCAGAATACATAAGAATTCCTACAATTTTCTAGAGCATTTACATCTGTTGAACTGGAGAGGACCCACAAACCGTTCAACTGTCCAAAATATATTATTTTAAATCATAAAGCATACATGAGCTAGATAAAGAAAATAATGAAGATTAAGTAAGAACAAGTGTCCTATCCCACTGAGAAAGGCAGGCGTCTCTATATATTTCCTATTCCACCTGGCCAAATACTCCGAAGGTAGCTATTGTACCTATACATAGACTATTGCTTATTATGTAAACTCAAAATTTACCTTTTTTATAAACGTATTTCATTATTCTTTTTTGAAGATAGGTTTTGTTATATTGATTAATACCGATTGATGTTCACAACAGTGGGGACCGCCATTCACTTTGGTTTATTAGTCAATTTGTTTACTAGTGTTTACTTATAGATTGTGTGGGTGGAGATGGAGCCACCGATGATCAAATCCTTTGAAGGCATTTCACGAATCCCTGGGAAAGACGGTATTTATGAAGCTTTATACATTTGTATAGCAGATATTGTAATCATAGTCATATTTTAAATTTCAATAAATATTAACAAGCATACTCAGTCATTCTGACTCAGTATTTATAATATAATATTATATATACATAATATTATACATATATTATATTACACATATTATTATAATATATATTATTTATACATAAAATAATATAATATAATACAGTATAGTTTAATATAATATAATATAAGAATATCATGAGATGTAATATGCCAATTAGATTTTCTAGTCAATGGCTGCCAATAACTGATATATTTTCAGTGGTTAAATTTATTATCATTATTATTATCTGTTACATTGTAAATTTCTTAATGAAGATATTTTAAAAATTAATATAATTTACATTAACTGGAAACCATAGTATGTTAAACCTAAAGGGCAGTAACTCGTGTTTAAAATTAAATTATGGTTGTTGTCTTAATCACTACTGCTTATTTTATTATTTTATTTAAGTTGTTAAAGAAGGGTCTTCAATACGCATCATCTGACTTCCAGGAGACAATTGATAATACAGTCGCAAAAAAATTCAAATATCATGAATTTGAGGGAGATTTTTTACTTGCTCATGGAGGTGATTTCCAGGATATTCCCACAATTCACGGGAGACTTGGAACCCAATAAACCACCAACAGTTCTCCGCAAAACCTACAAATAATGCCTTCCCACAGAAGAACTCCTCCCACAAAAACCATAAAATAAGTATCTACAAATAAACTGACATTCTCCTACATACAAACAACCAAGAATCAATGAATGAACCCACAAACAAAGCATCACACGCAAGCCCGCAAATTACCCAAGTGCTCATAAACCAAACTAACAATTCTCCATGCACTGATCCAACCC